ACTTGTACATATTGATAATGTTATTTCATCTATTTAAAATAAGCTTCTGAAGCGTGCAGTCCTGCTCTCCTTTCCCAGTTCTTTGCATAATGCAGGGATCCACTGCAAATTAAGGCCCGTGGGCCAAACCCAGCCTGTTGCTTGTTTCTGTATAGACCAAGAACTAAAAACTGTTTTTACATTTTAAGTGGTTGAAAAAAATAAGAATATTTAATACTATGTGAAAAATATAAGAAATTTATGTGGGAGTGTCCATAAACAATGTTCTACTGAACACTGCCGGGCCTATTTGTTACTGTATAGTTTATGTCTCCTTTTCAGCTGCAAGGGCAGAGTTGAGCAATTGCCTAAAATATTTGCTATCTGGACTTTCACAGAAAAAAAGTTTGCTGATCCTCAGAACAATTCTTTGAAATATAAAAAAAATTAGAATTAGAAGGACTTTATTTATAGTTTGTCCTTATTAAATGTTTAACATATAAGCATTTCCAATTTTGACACCAATACAGTCCACTATTATTTACATTACTTTTATCTCATAAATAATTTTGAATGATTAATATTTTTGAAACTCCAGATTTTCCTACTTAAGGAAGTCGTGAAAAATACCCCAAAGCGAAGGTTTAATATAAGCACCTGGTGTTAGAAAGAGTGGACAACAGAAACAAAAAGGAAGGGCTGGTAAAAAGACAAGGAAGAGCTCTATTCTGCAAACAAGCAGCATGAGTTCGATGCAAACAAAACCACAAAAAAACCCTAAAATAAAAAACAAAACAAAAAATCAGTCCAAGGTAAATCCAGGTATCAAGAGATAATGGTAGTAGCATCGTTAACAGAAACAAGGCAATCAAGAAGAGAAACAAGTGGCTAAAGAAGACTGAGTACAGTTTTGGAAATGTTGAACTTGAGAGACCTGAAAAAATCATATGGTGAAGTCAACTAGGTAGGAAGCAATATAGCATCAAAGATTTCAGGGCTGGAAATTCCATTGCAATATTCTACATATAACCACTGAAAAGTTCCCCAAACTCTATGATTGAGAGGCTCTTAACGTTGTGTGTGTGTGTACACACCTTAAGCTTACTATGAAACACAATTATTATAGGGAGAAGTTTTAAAGTAAATATTTCATTTCTCTGGTTCTAAATGAGCCATAGGAAACCATTTAAACTATTAAATGCACATGTGAAATTGCCAACTGACAACTTTATCAACTTTGTTCTTATGTAAACATACAGAGAGCAAAATATTTAAATAACTAGAGAAGATATATTTCCATAGATATAAGTCCTTTAAGAGTTAAAAAAACAAACAAAACAAAAAACAGCTTGACCTTAGCCATGGAATAAAATAATCAATTTAGCCTTAAAGGCTTAGATTCTGAAATGGGATATATTTTATTACAATCATAGATTAACAGAAAATTAGTGCTAAATGGGGACTTTGAAAAATATATTTTTTTATTGATTTCAGAGAGGAAGAGAGGAGAAATAGAAACATCAATGATGAGAGAATCGTTGATCAGCTGCCTCTTGTATGCCCCCTACTGGAGACTGAGCCCGCAATCCTTGACGGGAATCAAACCCAGGATCCTTCAGTCCATAGGTCAATGCTCTATCCACTGAGTCACACTGACTAGGGCTAAATGGGGACTTTTGAGGTAACTGTGATGGTTTCGTCTTGGATGGTTGGGAATGATAATCTCAAAGAGGTTGAGTGACTCACTCAAGGTCCTACAGATAGTCACTGTGAGGACCAAGACAGTAATAAATACCTGATAATACTCTCTCACTTAAGCCAAACCCTTTATATCATGCTTGGTACCAATGAGCATTATGAAGATTAGAAAAACATTATATACAAATGTTATTATAATTGTTATTCTTTTTAAAAAAATATATTTTATTGATTTTTTACAGAGAGGAAGGGAGAGGGATAGAGAGTTAGAAACATCGATGAGAGAGAAACATCTATCAGCTGCCTCCTGCACACCTCCCACTGGGGATGTGCCCGCAACCAAGGTACATGCCCTTGACTGGAATCGAACCTGGGACCTTTCAGTCTGCAGGCCGACACTCTATCCACTGAGCCAAACTGGTTAGGGCTATAATTGTTATTCTTATGTCTAAAGGGCTAAAAACAATGATGCAGTCAAATAAGTAGTTTGGGGGGTGGGAAGGAACCCACATTTAAATTACCTATGATAGTAAACTTTATAAGAGAAGTCTAAGCCTTTCCTGTTCACTAAAGGAGTAGGACATGAAATAAAGATACATAACCACTAATACTTTAAGAAGTACACTAACATAGGTTTTTAAAAATGCATGTATTCTATGCACTAGCATTAAAAAACACAGTAAGACCTCTGGGAATTAGTTAATGTATGCTTTCCCAGGAAAATCTTCTATTTTACTTAATAGTAAGCATTACCAAAGTCATTCAGGGCGCAAGGCTGGGCTAGTGTACAGTCCAGTATCTATAATAATAAAAGTGTAATATGCTAATTAGACCAGAAGACCTTCTGGACGAAGCTGGGGCTGCAAGGGAAGCCCGGGTTCTGGGCGCCAGAGGGAAGCCAGTGTCGGCAGCTGGGGGAAGGAAGGCCTACTCTTGAATGAATTTCGTGTATCGGGCCTATAGTATACTATAAGAGATCAAAGATAGTGGTATATGGGTAAAATAATATGCTGAAATTTGCCGATGAAAACTAGGATAAATGTAACCAAGGTATTTATAGGGCTCTATTTGGGATGTTTTACATTAAGTCTAAGAGCTCCTCTGAATATATAGAAAAATAAAAAGTCATCAAATGGTGTGGTTTATGTAATGTGATATACTGATAAATCAAACAGTTAAAACATATACAGACATTCACATGAAGCAAATCATCAGGCCTGTCAGATAGTTTAGAATAAAACCTGGCACAAATTTCATTCACTGAGGAAAAAATAATGCTGGTAAAAACACTACACTCTATTTTTTTGAACAATTTGATAAGAATGTCATTGCAAACATATTATAAAATCAACAATTACTAAAGCAATGTTTATAGAATTTTTGACAGTAAGATATTAAGGCAGCAATTTAAGAGCATTTTACTACTATCAAGAATGAGCTATTGTCTACACTAACTCGCTTGAGAAATATGACACAGTCCCATCAGTAATGGTGAGTCACTACAGCAGGGATTCTTTCATGGGAGGTGGGCATAGAACAATATACAAAAAGGCTTGTGTAAAAGCCTCAGGAATTCTGCCAATAACCTCCTTTCCCCTGAAACCTCTGGACATCCTTCTACCATGCTGTGAATCAATGTTAGAAAACATTGCCTGAAAAAAGTAGTTTCATGTTAATAACTGTCACTGAGTAACTAGTGGGCAAAGGTGACACAAACCCAAGAAATAAAACACTCTAGCCTTGACCGGTGTGGCTCAGTGGATAGAACATCAGCCTGTGGACTGAAGGGTCCCGGGTTCGATTCTGGTCAAGGGCATGTACCTTGGTTTCGGGCACATCCCCGGTAGGGGGTGTGCAGGAGGCAGCTGACTGATGTTTCTCTCTCATCGATGTTTCTAACTCTCTATCCCTCTCCCTTCCTCTTTGTAAAAAATCAATAAAATATATTTAAAAAAAAAAAGAAATAAAACACTCTAACGGATTAATAAATATCACAAATAATAGCAGTAAACAAAAGATAAGGGTTTTAGAAGTGAAAAGAATTGACACTAAGATACAGTAAAGAACTGTCAATAACAACAACAAAAAGATACTCTAAAGAAATCATTTAAATAACTGTAATCTTTTAATCTGAGTAAGAAAATGAAGGGCATCCATATTTTTGGTATCAATTCAGAAGTATAAAGTATATATACATGAATAACATTAAGTAAATAGTAAATTTTCAGATATATAATTTAACCTGATTAGGATCTTTTTTTGTGTTGTTTTTTTTTCAACAAAGGTCTACCTTTTTGGAAAGGTAGATACTCTGTGATCTTAGGGAGAGTGCTCCCCATCATAAATATATCTATATGAAAGAACCCCTATGAGTTATGTATAAATTGACATGAACATAACTGAGAAAAACCAGTTGTAAGTAGTGATGATACTATAAAGAGAGTAATGATTTCTTATCTTAATTAAGATCCTACATTATATGGCTGACCTTAACTAAGCCTGTTGTTAGATATTATATATCCATATATGAAATTATATAGAGGAAAAAGCTCAAATACAATATTCAGGAACACTTTAATACACATTAAACAGAAAAAGAAGCACATTTTAAAATTATCAATGTTTTTAAAGATACCCCAATAAATGTATTCATTAATATTCATCCCTTGCTTAGGGAACTGATCAATTCTAGATCTATAATTATAATTCCCATTGCCAAGAGTTGCCATATCCAATATGCATAAATTTTATTATACAATGTCTACTAAAAATCAGCAAAAAAGTAAAACATGTCTCTACTAAAGTTATTACTCTCAATATTATAGTGTTTAATTGATTACTGTTATCTTCAGGGATGTTAGCAAATTTTCAATTGCTCTTGATACCATTTTATTCCCAAGGTTTGCTGTGTAACTGTGGGTTTGTTTTTAATATTTACCTAAAACAGGGGAATGACTTTACGTAAAAGAAATCCTGCTTCTTTTAGAACCACAAAAGGGACAAAAACAACTAGTGAAGCTAACTGTTAAGATAGGCAAAACATGCACGGGTTGGTTTGGCTCAGTGGTTAGAGCATCAGACTTTGAACCTAAGGGTTGTGGTCAAGGGTATGTACCTGGGTTACAGGTTCGATCCCAGCCCTCTGCCCAGCCCTGTGTCTCTCTCCCTCCCTTCTAGTCTCTCTAAAAAAATCAATGGAAAAAATATCCTTGGGTGAAGATCAAAATAAATACAATTTTAAAAAGCAAAAGAAACACTGATTATTACACATTTTCAAGACGAATATTTTACCATGCAGATTATTTAAGACAACAAAGTTTTACCTCTACACAGGTTTTCATCCCTGAGGCAGCAGCATAGTGCAGGGGTGTGTTTTTTTTGTTATCTACAGCATCAATAGCTGCTCTCTCATACTCCCCTTGGTCAAGTTTTGCTCCTTTCCATCTTAAGATCATCTGCAGACAATCTGCTCTTCTAAAATCATCTTCCATGGGGCGTGCTAAACGAGGATGAAGGGCTCCTTCAGATATCATAATTTGAGGTCCCATACACAACAAATGCATAGATGTTTCATTGTGCACATTCCGTTTATTTGGATTTCCATCTCTACCAAAAAGAAAAGTCCTAAAGTAGTAAAGAAAAAGAAGGACAAAAATCAATTATTTCCTACTTTGAAATAAGAATAGAAGATAACAAATTTAAAAGATAATTATGAATATGCACATTTGATACTATACCAAAAATTCAACAAGTTGTCATTTATTGCTAATCAAACTTAAAGATTACTTTTCAGACTCTGAAATTAATATCAAAGAACCTTCTACACTGCTACATTAAAATCCACTGATCTACTTTGCATTATGAATAATCTTTTACCCATGCATAATTTTAAAAAGTCATATACATACTGATCTTCTGAAAAGTACTGATTCACCAAGTTATGCAGATTTTCTAGATGTTGTCACATTTCATTTCAAATATTTTCTTAAAATCCTATTAGTTTATACCACCATAAATCTTACTATAATCCTGGTCATAAGAATATTTCCTTGTGCAATAATTTTTTAAAAATATATTTTTATTGATTTCAGAGAGAAAGAAAGTGGGAAAGAGAAACTACAATAATAAGAGAGAATCACTGATCTGCTGCCCCCTGCACGCCCCATACTAGGGATCAGCCTCTAACCTGGGCATGTGCCCTGGCCGGGAATCGAACTGTAACCTCCTGTTTCACAGGTTGACACTCAACCTCTGAGCTAGCAGGCAGGGCCCTTGTGCAATGATTTTATAAAATTTATTTTTACTTTGTGTAAGATATTATGCTAGATGCTAGAGGTACAAAAAAGACACTTTTATCACAAAGTTGCAATTTAGGTAGGCAGAGAGAAGATACAATGAGATAGTGTATGCCAAACAAGTAATAAAAACAAAAAAGAGCCGTATAAGTTTAAAAAAAAAGAAAGAAAGACTGAGGTTCTTGTGAGTTGTGACAGGCTAAGAAGATAAAGCCTTCCCAGGACCTTGTAGGAAGGGTAAGATTTAGCAAAGAAAGAGAAAGCTGAGTGGAGTGGGGAAGGGATTCTGGGGCAAAGAGAGCAGCATGGACATGGTAGACAGAACACACATGGCATGATTCAGGTATATAAAAAAGAGCAGCTTGCCCTAACCGGTTTGGCTCAGTGGATAGAGCGTCAGCCTACAGACTAAAGGGTCCCAGGTTCGATTCCGGTCAAGGGCATGTACCTTGGTTGTGGGCACATCCCCAGTAGGGGGTGTGCAGGAGGCAGCTGATCGATGTTTCTCTCTCGTCGATGTTTCTAACTCTCTATCCCTATCCTTTCCTCTCTGTAAAAAAATCAATAAAATATATTTTTAAAAAAAGAACAGCTTAATTTGAACAACAATTTGTATAAAATGAAATTTAAAAAGCTTGAAAGTTTTTAAGTTCTAAAAAGCTTTGAATACATGTTTAAGAATTATATTTCACTGTGTAAGCAAAGAAGTGTTTCTTTCTTTCTGTTCTAGCATTAGACTCCCATAGCTGCATAATCTACTTCTAAAAAAACTAAATTTGTTTTGGAGCTACTTTTCTATCCTTTGCTTCTTTCATGTTATAAGCTAGTAAATATCAAATTTAACTCCCTTGTAATTAGGTAAGAATCTTTGAATAAATATACTCCCTGTTACTAATACTTGAAAAGCTTTAAGTTTGTTAGTATTTTAAATTTTAAGGAAATGTTTCACTTTTAGAAAAGTCTTCTCAAGTAACTAAACCCCATTAAAAGAAAGGAAACTCAAATCTGATCATAACTAGATAAGGCAAAAGTATCTGTTTTTCAACTTCAACTAGTGAATCAGAGCTTAAGAACTTTGCTATAGGCCCCAGTCCCTGCAATTTGTTGATAAGTACTTTTCTAGAATCAAAATCATTGTAGCAACAAGAATATGTGAACCGAACATGAATCGAAGATGGCGGCGTAGGTAAACACCGGAGACCGCTGCCGTAAACAACCACTTCAAAAATACAGCTAAAGGTCGGAACGGACATCAACCAGAACCACAGGAAGGCTGGCTGAGGAGGGACTCTTCAGCTAGAAGCAAAAACAACAGCAGTCCGACGCACAGAGGAGGCGCAGTGTGGAAAATTTAAAGGTACGGTGGTGCGGCGGTGCGCGCGCAAAGCGGGCTGGTGGCTGAGGGCGCGGTTGTCGTTTTCACTCAGGAGTGAATCTCAGACTCTGGGCTACAGATCCGGGCGAGTCTCTAGGGACCCTGACTCAAACGGGAGAAGTGGGACTGTCTGGCTACGGCCCCTCCGAGGTTTGCAGCGATTGCTGGGACAGAGAGGCAGAGCCCTTGGGGACGGACTGAGAGCGCCCATAGCTGCTCCCTCCCCCCGCCCTGTTGAGCCCGCCCCGCCCAGGCACTGCGCACAGACATTTGCAAGGGCAGGACTAGCGCCTCCCCAGAATCCTACAGCCAGTAGGTCTGCTGGTCAAATCCCTCTAGTGTTAACTACAACAATTAAGGCTTCGCTAGAACAAGACTGCGCACAGAGACCACAAGGGGGTGCACCAAGAAAGCATAAAAGATGCGGAGACAAAAAAGCATGACAGAAATGGAGGATATGGAGCTAAGAATCGCAATTTTGAGGGCTTGCCATAAATTTGTGCAGAGCCTCACGAAAACTAATGAGACCCTCGATGCTACGATAAAGAAATTAGAAAGTAAGCATACACGGACTGAAATAAAGAATATTATACCCAATAGCAGACCAGACGAGCAAAAGAATCAAACCAAAGATTCGACAAAAAACACCCAATTGGAAAACCAAAATGAAAAAAGAATCCGAAAGTGTGAAGATAGTATAAGGAGCCTCTGGGACAGCTTTAAGCGGCCTAATATCAGAATTATTGGAGTCCCAGAAGATGAGAGACAGCAAGATATTGAAAACCTATTTCAAGAAATAATGGCAGAAAACTTCCCCCCATCTGGAGAAAGAAATGGACTTACAGGTCCAAGAAGCGCAGAGAACCCCAAACAAAAGGAATCCAAAGAGGACCACACCAAGACACATCATCATTAAAATGCCAAGAGCAAAAGACAAAGAGAAAATCTTAAAAGCAGCAAGAGAAAGAGGCTCAATTACCTACAAGGGAATACCCATACGACTGTCAGCTGATTTCTCAACAGAAACTTTGCAGGCCAGAAGGGAGTGGCAAGAAATATTCAAAGTGCTGAATACCAAGAACCTACAACCAAGATTACTTTATCCAGCAAAGCTATCATTCAGAATTGAAGGTCAGATAAAGAGCTTCACAGATAAGGAAAAGCTAAAGGAGTTCATCACCGCCAAACCAGTATTATATGAAATGCTGAAAGGTATCCTTTAAGAAGAGGAAGAAGAAGAAAAAGGTAAAGATACAAATTATGAACAACAAATATGCATCTATCAACAAATGAATCTAAGAATCAAGTGAATAAATAACCTGATGTACAGAATGAACTGGTGATTATAATGAATCAGGGACATAGAAAGGGAATGGACTGACTATTCTTAGGGGAAAAGGGGTGTGGGAGATGCGGGAAGTGACTGGACAAAAATCATGCACCTATGGATGAACACAGTGGGTGGGGAGTGAGGGTGGAGGGTGGGGTGGGAGCTGGAAGGAGGGGAGTTATGGGGGAAAAAAAAAAGAGGAACAAATGTAATAATCTGAACAATAAAGATTTAAAAAAAAAAAAAAAAGAATATGTGAACCAACCTCACTATTAAAACTTTTGGTCTAATTTAGACTTAATTTTAAAAAGTCATACCTAATAATTTAAGCATATTCAGTTTTAGAAATTTCAATTCACTACAATACCATATAACACCCACATCTGTATGTATATATTTTCAAAGATCAGGGTTTTTTCCCCTCTTTCACTAATATGTTTTTCTCCCTTGACTAATTTATTATCAACTTGTTTATAGTAATACTTACCCTAATATTCTATTCATTCCATGTCTAGCAGCATAGTGTAATGGAGTATTGTGCTGGTAGGGTTCCCCATAAGATGTATTAGGATCAAGGGATTCTTTTAGCTGAGGGTTGTTTTCGTATATTTGGCAGGCCAGGTTTTCATCACCATTGATGAGTGCTTTACGAAATTTGGTGGTTGTATTTCCCATGTTTTGTTTTGTTGTTTTTTTCTGACAGGCAGTGGCACTTTTTTCCTCCCCCTTCAGCCACTTCTTGAATGCTTCTGCAACATGTTTCACATTCTAATAGAGAAAAAAAAGATCAAATGAGATTGGGAAACAATAATTATGAAGCAGTATCCTAAAGAAACATCACAATTAAGAACACTAATAAAATCTAGAAAGAGGATGTAAAGTGACAACTTATACTAGTATTACATTTATCTTACTAGCCAAAAAAGTCTCAAATTTTTAACACTGTCCAAATTAACTTCTTGTTAAACTGTAACATTTTCCAGTACAGAGACTGCTAAGGTTTCACAGGCTGTACTTTGTACTATTAAAGTTATCTACATACAGTAGCTTTTCAATGTTCCTCTTTACATGAGCAGGAAATGCGTGTAACTGAATTTTATGGGTGAATGTATTTAAATTTCTATATAAACTATGTATAAATCTGACTCTACCAACTTGTGGGATAGTGAAAAATGTAGATTTTTATTTTTGCTCATATAAGAACTCCAGAATAGATGTTAAACTGAAACTGCTCAGTACTTATAAGGACATCAGAGAAAAGGTTACAAATGTAAACATACAGGACCATACAACTCAAGTGATTAATGAGATAGTCACAGTAAAGTATTAAAACTGACTATACACAGAACAATGGAAACTGTTTATTCTACCTTAAGACCATTACATTATTTATTTCTACTATGAAGAATTTAAAACAAAACTGAAAACATCACATACTTGCACATACTATGTTTAGAAAGAGGCTAAGATAATAATCATATGGGCATTAACTACTGAAACAATGTGACGTGGGCAGAGGAAGAAGGACATGGAACCAATCACTGGATTTGGAGCTCAAAATCTCTTACCTACTTACACTAGCTGTGCAATTTTGAGCTATTTACCCTCTAAAAGCCTTGGGTTCCTAACTGCATAGTAAAAGAAAATGACTATTTCTTAAAAAAATATATTTTTATTGATTTCAGAGAGGAAGGGAGGGAGGAAGAGAGATAGAAATATCAATGATGTGAGAGAATCATTGGTCGGCTGCCTCCTGCACACCAAACATTGGGGATCGAGCTTGCAACCCGGGTATGGGCCCTGATTGGGAATCAAACCATGACATCCTTGTTCATAAGTTGACGCTAAACCACTAAGCCACACTGGCAGGGCAGAAAATGACTATTTCTTAAGGATGGCTGTGAGGATTATAAGTACTTTATTTAAAGTACCTACCACAGTCCTTGACTAGTGTATTCAATAAATGCTAGCTTCCTTCCATTCCAAGAAATGATTCTGAATCTACTCTTGAACTATGATCAAAATAAGTGATAAAGGAAACAGCATATGCAAAGGCAGGTATAAAACAAAAGGCTTATTCAGTATGAATGAAGTTCAAGTTCTCTAGTGTTGAACTACCAAAAAATAAAACAAAATACTAGGTTGGGTCCAGACTGAGAAACTTTTACTTTAACCTGTAAAGAACAGATAATTAAAGGCTTTATGAAGGGCAGGGATATAATTATTTTATGCTTTGGAAAATTAGTTATTGTGACATTGTAGAAGATAGACTAGAGGGAGAAAAACTTAGAAGGAGAATACAAGAATCCATCATGTCACCCAGTTAACTCAGTGGCAGACTGGACATTAAAACATAGCATTAAGAAAAGTTGAAAATAATATGTACTTTTTCAACATAAGCTTTGTAGAGGCAGTAACAGTTTTAACAGAATACAAATTAAAGGAGTGAAAAACAAATTAGTTGGGTTTTTTTTTTAATGTTTTGGCTTTTAGAGAGGAAGGGAGAGGGATAGAGAGATAGAAACATGGATGAGAGAGGAACACCTATCGGCTACCTCCTGCAAACAGTTTACTGGGAATTGAGCCTGCAACCCAGGCATGTGCCCTGACTGGGAATTGAACCAGCGACCTCTTGGTTGCTGGGTCGATGCTAAGCCTCACTGGCTGGGGTGGTTTATTTTTCTTTTTAATTTTCTGTATAACAGAGGCTCTCAACTTTGGCTATACATTTAATAACATGGGGAACTTCATTGGCCAAGCTACATCCCAGATAAATAAAATCAGAGTCTCTAATGGGAGGCACCCAGGCCTTGGAATTTAAGCTCCTTAGGTGAGTTCAATGTGCACACACCACTGTATAAAAAGCTCCTGAATACCTCTAGCTAAATGTTATATCTGAGTATGGAGATCAAGGTGAGCAGGCAGGGTAAGATATCTGTTAAACTTATTTTAGAGATAGGTATTAACTACCTACTTACTATAGCAGCACACTTTCTGGCACACAACTATACTTAAGGAGGTCATCATTTGGCTCTTTTAAAGGTTGTTACTGACTTTTTACTCTAAATATGCAAATACATATACATAGAATGTTTTGAAAATATGAAAAAAGAAAAAGGACAAAAACTCATCGTCTATTTACTGGAAGATAACCACTATTAGCATTTTGATAAATAACTGCCTTATTTATAATGTATATAAATATGTGTTTGTATGCATATGTACTATTTATATATACTACTATATATATACTAGAAGCCCGGTGCATGAAATTCGTGCAACAGTAGGCCTTCGCAGCTGTGGCAGCTGCCTGGATTCCTCCCTTGCAGCCACAGTGGCTGCCTGGATCCCTTGAAGCTGGGGCAGCTTCCTCGATCCCGTGGCTGCAGCCCCAGTTTCGTCCAGAAGGTCGTCCGGAAGGACATCTGGTCTAATTAGCATATTACACTTTTATTATTATAGATATACTATAAATACTTATATACATATTGGATCATGCTACATAATTTTAAACAATTTATTTAACTTTCTAGAGAGTTGTTAAACCTTTATCATAAAGTTCTTTATCATCTCATCTTGAATGAGGAGCAAACTCCCCCTCCCACAATCTATCACAATATACTATAGCCACTTTTGGGATTTTTTAGTAACAGCCTGGATTTTATTTTTCTTTTGTTTTTCATAGAATCTAGGAGCCATATGTTTATCCTTAGTGAACTAATTTGTTTTGTTGTACTGCTTTAAGCACTTTAAGAGTTTATTATTCTTAATGAAAACTCCATTCAGTTCATTGTATATTTTTATTTATAAAAAAATATAAAGAATATCATATGGAAAAAAAAATCATATGGGTTCTAAAAGGTCTTTCCTAAGGATTTGGAAACTTTCAGTTGTCTAGCCTTATCTTTCTTCTCTGATAGACTATAGCTCAAATTATGAACATTTTCAGAGTTTTCGATTAGACTAATAAATAACACATTGTCACTGAATTACATTATTACTTTAGAGAAATATCCTATATGAAAATAATTTCTATCCAACATGTGAAAAAAGTATCTAAGAAAGCAATTATATCATCATGGGAGTACTTAGTTAAAACAACCAAGATACTTTAAAAAAAAATCAATAATACTCTAAATGTGCATTTAAATATTACTGTTACTCATGTTGAAAGCATAATGGTATCTGGAAATCTTTTTGTAGTTCTCAGTTATTTTCAAGTATGTTTCATTTTTAAAATATGAGTTCAATAAGCCTGAAAGTCACCAGGAAATGCATCATTTAAAGCAGCCATAGTTCTATTCCCTCTCAGATTTATTTTCACAAGTCTTGCCAGATTTGTCCTTCCACTTTTTCATAGCTATAGCAGCATAACCTGAAGTGACTGTTCCCCCTTTATTTTTGAAATCAAACACTTAAGTACTATTTCTCCAACTCTAAGATAAATCTATATAGAGAGCTTCAAGATAAAAATGATGGATTTTCAATAATTTCTTATTTTGGGCTTTTAAGTTATATAGGAAAATCCAGGTGAAGCTTCATCACTGACTAGTAAAGCACAGCACTTAATAAGTATTTAATGAAAAAAGTAAGAAAAATACACCACCAATGAACACCAGATAGTTTTCCCTAATTTTTCATTAACTTTTAAATGTGAAGGGCTCTATAACTCTTGCTTTAAACCTTTGTCTCTCAACTTGCCCATTCATAGGTTAATAATCAGTGCAACAACTCAAGTGCACTTAAATTAATAAACTACCGCCAGAAACCTTTTACAGAAGATGAAATACTTCAGATATAAATAACACCTAATTTATCTGTTTCTACGAAAGTAAATTATCTTAAAGTCATAATTATGGATTGAAATTGTTGACCTAAACAAAATAAGTGACTCCTATTTTTCACTCAACTGGAAGAAGACCCATTATTACACATGCATACGTACACACATCATCCTGCAACTTTCTGCAGTTAAGAACAACTCAACAACTGATAACAACAATTTCAATCTACAACTAAACATTCCTTTAGCCAGAACAGAAGCAAGTAGAAAGTTCACTCAAATAGTATGTCCAATCCCACCCCCCTCTTGAAATCAGAAAGATGTGTCTCAAAGAAGAAAATTCCAAAAAGCTCTACGTCCAAAGAAATGCTCTAATTGTTATTACAATAATACTGAGTAAAAAGGAGAGGATGGTTTTAAAAAGACTCTAAAATAATTATCAAGGTGTAAGGTAAAAAAATAAATAAGGAAAAAAGTCATGAAAAGTCAATATACTACAACAGACAGAAACCATGTGGGCAAATAATATATTAAGCTATCAACTCTGTTCATTCACTTCTTCAATAACATGTAGTAATTTTTATTACCATGCACTAGAATCATGGGGTGGGGAGGGTGATTTCAACTGGTCTAGGAAGGACAAGGCCAGAGCGAAAAGTTTAAAATATATACAGTTTAATATTAAGGACCATAGATTGGTTTTGAAACTGTGCTAAGCCTAATGTATTAGCAAGAACTGTGACTGCAAGAAAAAGGGGGTAATAGTCAGAAAGTGCTGTGTTCAACTTCTGTTTCTATTTTACCAAGTAACTTAATCTCTTTCAGTTGTTTCTTCACCTATACACCAGAAGTATTAATATTTATTTTCTTCAGTTAACAAATATAAGTGAACAAATAGAAACCAATGCATCTATAGAGTTTATATTGCAGTGGGATTATAAAGATGAACATTGTAAGGTTTTTATTTTATTTTGTTTGTGATAGG